CCACATTCCAATCCTGGTTCGCTGAAGCTCTTGCCTACTACAACGACTGTCGCACTACCAAGAAGCCGGGTCTTCCGTGCAAGACTTGGCGAGAGAGGATTCTCAAACGGTAGAAGGACACTTACTGGAGACACCGCCTCGCCTTTCAAACGCCTCTCTTTACCTCACTCGTCCTCACATTTGACATCATACAGCTATCGAAGACCACCATGGCTCGCAAAGAAGCTTCCCTGCTGGCAGAGGAGGAGACGCTGGACAAAGCTGTGCCCGCGTCTCAGCCTGACCCATCTATCTCATCTCATCGACTCAAATTGCTAACCTATGCCAGCGCTCTGCTAGGCAACAGCACTTCCGCAGTCGTCACCAATCCTTTTGACATTATCAAGGTCCGACAACAATTAGCGCTCTCCTCGCGGCACAATTTTTGGACGTTGGGAAGGGAAATGGTTGTTGGAGAAGGCGTGCAGAGCCTTTGGTACGGTGTGACGGCCAGTATACTGAGAGAGGCTAGCTATGGAACGATTAGAATGGGAAGCTACGAGACTTTCAAGGTGAGCCACGACCGTGCATGCGGTCGTCGTAGCGTATTCGGAGCCATATGCTAGTCTTGACGATTGTTGGGACTGACTGGCTAATCGCTGCATCATACCTCGCAGGACCTGTATGCTCCACTCCTAGGTCCATCCGTGCCTTTCCTGCAGAAACTACTGGCAGGCGTCACTTCAGGCGCCTTGGGCGCTCTCATAGCCTCTCCCTGCGACTTGGTCAAGGTTCAGATGCAAGCGTCTAGAACAGCAAGCGTAGGCGGTGCGCCTCCCTATCGCAACACATTCGTAGCCTTCTCGACCATCTATCATAAAGGCGGACTCAAGGCTCTGTGGAGAGGCGTCGGACCCACAACGCTCAGAGCTGCTGTGCTTACTAGCACGCAGGTGAGGCTAGCAGCGTCCATCCACTTGCACTGCTCGCTCCTTGCTGATGCTCTTGTTCGCAATGTTTTTCTGCAGGTGGGAACGTACGACGAAGCCAAGCAACGCATCAAGCATTCCGCTTCGAATAGCAAACCCAATCTCATCGTCGCTCATCTCTCACAGGAAGGTCTGCCTCTACATTTCGCCAGCAGTATGATAGCTGGCTTTATCGCTTCTGCTACTAGTCA